CCAAATTCGAGAAATTATTATGTCTCGGCATAATTCGTTATTTTCTTTTAAATACTTAATTGATTTTTACCAAAAATTAATAAATACAATTTGAAATAATTGCTAACTGTCACAATGATTTTTTCTAATTGTCAAAACTGTCTTGGCATTGTCGCACACTACGATAAAATTTCCTGTAATGAAACATGCAGCAGATTGTTGAAATGCGTTTTTCTTGAAAACGGACAATTTCTAGAGCTAATGACAAGTATACCATTTTTTCACGAAAATAATGTAGGTTTAAGATTTTTAAAAAAAAGAAGCGTTAACGTTGTGGATAAAAAAATTATGCTCGTATTTACGTCATAAACACGGCGTATGTGGCGCCCTCTAGAAGATACATCGAAATAGATAACAAATTATGATTTCTCGTATACAGAAACATCTACCCCTAAATTTTCACGTTCATACACTCAAAAATATTATAATTATTACGAAAATTCAATTTTTAATTTCCAACTTTGACACCCTGTATCTTTTTTGTTATCAACATTTTATTAAGGCATGTTGGCTCCAATCGTAATATTTTGAAGTAAAAAATCTAGTGTGTCTCTATGGACCATTACTTACGGACCACCCTGTATATGCGACAATTTATATCTTTTAAATTGTAGTATTTTTTATAAAATCGGCTACAGTCAGATTTTTTGTGATATACTTCTTTTTTAAAAACGGTTTTTTTATTACTTACTTGTCTCCAGAACCGGTCACTCTATTTCTATTTAAAAGATGGTTAACGATGCAAATGTGTGGATAAAAACGAAATTCCTATTTAGTACGATTTGTGGTTTTTGCATGCTCTTTGCAAGATATTAAATTACAATTAATTCAATGTTTACTATCTGAAATCTATAAAATAATAAGTATTTTCTAAGTGTACTTAAACTTTTTTCAAATAAATTTCAGGCGCATACTGTTCCGATGCTGAATTCTGATTGAAATTTAAGTAATAACAAGCTTAATCGAATAATACTGGTTATTACTTACTTGATCTTACTTAGTTAGTCCTTCGTGGGTTAGTAATTAGAAAAGAATAATAGATATTAGCAAAAACTAGATGAGCAAAGCGAAATTATAAAGGAGGGGGTTAAGTATCTATCTACACAGACATATCAGAAGAAGCGAACGAAATTCTGTACATCAAATGCAAAAAAATTGTATTTCTGCTAACATCAAACTAATTGACAGTAAAAATATAGTTTGTATTTACAGCATTTATGAAAATTATAGTTGATATGTTGATAACAAAATATTTAAATGGATTCCAAGCAAGTAGGTTTGATTAGGAAGACAAAGAAAGGAGAAATTCAAATAAATTACTTATTTATAATTTACAAAAAGTGTGTAAATTTTAGTGTTGGAAATGAAATTATAAATACGTAAAAACAGCTCTTTGGAAATTATTGATTAGACTCGAATAATTTTAGTATCTAAAGAATTTCAATTACTTGATGTTAATTGAGTTTATAGAAATACAGAGTTTAGAAAAATAGTTTAGAAAAATATTTCTCCAGTAGAAGATTTACAGATTTTAAATGAATCAAAGTAATTTGAGTCTGTTTAACATAACTTATATGTCTGTATTAACTAATAGTATAAAATGCTGGAAGATGTTATTCCAAATTTGCCCAATTCTCAGAATAAGAAACTGATGAAAAAGGTTAAGAGCGGTTGGTAGAATAATTTTCCTAGATGGACGGGTTAAATGAGCATTTTTAACTCACAATTTGAAGCGGCTGTAAAATTAACTTTATAATCTTAAAACTGTTGTTAATTTGAAAATTAAAGAATCAAAGAAAACCCCTTCGGCAAAAATCACGTTTTTCTCATTGAAAACAAGGAAAACTATCTCCTCGGACTTATCTTATTTCGCACCAAACCGGTTTTAGAATACAGCAAGATATGTTAAACAAGACTGTATAAAAATGTTCAAATCTACTGTGAATTATAGTTAAATCACATTCGAAATACATAAAAAACGACCAAATACATAAAATTAGGAATTGAAATACGTCGGAAACTTCTAAAAACTTCGAAATAGTTAGAGAAGAAGAACCATAAAACGTTATCAACGGAAATTAAAGGTGAAAGACACCGGATGCAGAAGGTCAATGATTGCGGAGACCAAAATCAAATATACTGGAGGTTAAGGGTCAATAGATAATTGACCATCTTAATAAACTGATCAAAATGTACACCTGGTATTAGTTTTCTCACGTATTTATTATTAATAAAAAAATTTTTCTTCATAAGTAAAATATTAAATCAGAAACTACTAAGATATGTCGTTTTCAGAATTGAAAAGGAAAAAAATTAATTTAAAATAGGGTGCATTAGTACATCGAACACTCAGAACACTCAGAATGATCAGCTAACAGAAAAAATGATTACAATAACAGAAATATTGAACAAGTCACCGGAAGGATATTTAAAGAGAAATGAGAGGTTTTTGGCAACAAACTATCTATTTTATATTCAAGGATATACAGGGATGGCCAGAAGTACGGAATAAAATTCATATCTTTTGAATGAGTTAATTTTTTTTAAACTCCGATACACGTTAACTAATTTCGATTTTTTCCCCATCTTTCGGTTATATAATAATTAATTTTTCTTCAACCCCCTAACCCCCACCTACCCCTACTTTTTTTTCAAATGGAAACATAAGGCATGAGGGGGCTCGTTGAAAAGCTTATAGAAAACCGAATCCAGCCATACCAAATAAACAAGTTTTATTTTTTCAATAACAAGTTTTTTTTCATTTAGAAATTGAAACAACTAGATAATTTACAAAAATAAACTCAATGTCGCAAATGCTGAAAATGTCCTCCATTCACTATTTGGCATTCTCCAAGACGATAGTAAAAGCTGTCCACAGCATTCTGAATGACTTCAGCTGGTAAATTATGCATCTCCGCCCTAATCTTGTTCTTTAAATTCTCAATATTATCCGGTCTGTCCTGGTAGACTCTTTCTTTCAAATATCCCCAAAGAAAATAATCCAGGGGTGTTAAGTCGGGGGATCTTGGCGGCCATTCAACTGTACCCCGTCTACCAATCCAGCGATTTGGAAACATTTCATCTAAGTATCTTCGAACATCAATACCAAAATGTGGGGGAGCGCCATCTTGTTGGAACCAAATTCTTTCATTCGGTATATCTGGATCAATTTCATGAGGGAAAATCACAGCTAGAGCAGGTATCAGGTCAAATGTTAGGAAATCCAGGTAGCGTGCGGCAGTAAGATTTTCTTCAAAAAAGAATGGGCCCAAGATTCTGTTGTTGATGATACCTGCCCATACATTAACTTTTTGTGGATGCTGCGTATGCGATTCGCATGTCCAGTGTGGATTTTCCTGGGACCAAAAGCGATAGTTGTGCCTGTTAACCACTCCATTTAAATAAAACGTAGCTTCATCCGAAAAAAGTACGTCTCGTTGAAAACCATTATTGTCGTCACACCGTCTCATCATTTCCTCACAAAATTGTAATCGCCTATCATAATCGTCTTCCAAAAGCTCTTGGACAAGACATACCTTATAGGGGTGGTATTTCTCTTGTTTCAGAAACATTCGAATTGCAGTTCGAGAAGCATCGTGATTGCGGGCCAATGAAACAGTTGAAGTATGAGGATTTTCAACAAGTTCTAATGCAATGTCTAATTTCTTTTCTTCATTCAAAGCACGTGCCCGTCCAGTTTTGGGCAAAGTCTGTACTGTACCGTGTTCCTCAAATTTGTGAAATATTTTACTAACTGTCCCTTGCGAGATTTGGTTTTCGGGATATTTCGCATTAAATAAATCGCGCACTTCAGCCTGACTTCTTATTTTGTCTCCACATCCAAGCAATATCAAGATTTCGATGCGTTGCCTTTCCGACAATACCATTGCAATTCAGTAAATAACTTGATTTTGACACAATAGTAACGTTTCGAACTCCAATTTACAACTAAAGCGAAAAATTAACCAGAAAGCCTGGCAAGTAAGTGGTGCCAAAAAAACGCAACATAAAAAATATATCTTTTTTGCGTTAGCAGTGATAGGTACAGTTTCAAATTCTTTATTTTATTATGTGCAAGTTCATGGAGGATAACACTGAAGATAACTAAATTTTATTTCACTTGTTAAGTAGGTGTTTTATACAACCCTAAAAACCTTGCTATTGAAAAAATAAAACTTGTTTATTTGGTATTGCTGGATTCGGTTTTCTATAAGCTTTTCAAAGAGCTCGATCATGCCTTATGTTTCCAATTCAAAAAAAGTAGGGGTCGGTGGGGGTTAGGGGGTTGAAGAAAAATTAATTATTATATAACCAAAAGATGGGAAAAAATCAAAATCAGTTAACGTGTTTCGGTGTTTTAAAAAAGATTAACTCATTCAACAGATATGAATTTTATTCCGTACTTCTGGCCATCCCTGTATACTGAAGATACGTCGCCTCTTGAGGGCACACACAATATTAATATTGCACTTCGAGTAAGGTAAAGGCAGCATTTCCCAAGACGATCTGCCAGAATGATATGCTCTAAGGCCCTGCTATAACAGCGTCTCATGTACATGCAGCAAATAATATATTAAACAAACAGGGAGACTCAACAACAAGGCATTTTATGGGCCTAAGTGATAATAGAATATTGTTCGTGGAAGATTGTGGACAAGGCTATAGAGAAGCAAAGGGAATCCAGAAAAATCGTGATAATTTCAAACGAGATAAAGACTTAAAACTACCTGGAATTTGGAAACGAAGAAGAGTTGTAATAGAATCTAAAACGAAGACATGGCAGGAATTGTTAAAGCATTGACAACTGTCATGGAAGTCTACAAACCACGATAATTTTATACGAAGTTTTATTCTTAAAATGACCTAAAAGTCACTTCTCTAACGCTCTGTATTGCTCAGCAAACATCCTATATGCTGTGTGTATGCAGTTCTACATACAGCAAAAGCAAACATTTATATACCGTGTAGATGTTTGTGTTGTAGGCGTCTCCATTAGAGGGACTCACGCTGTGCTCGCTCCTCACTAGAATAGGCAGTATGTCACCTCCTGGCACGTAGCATGGCGTGTTGATCGCGTTGGCAGCGTCAAATCTATTGGAATCCATCGAGGGCGAACTATTTGACCTCGGTTGACTCCCCACCTTCGAGGAGGGCTTCTTCTCTTGTCCGTGTTTGTCCAGCTCGTTGAGTTGCTGCTCGCTCTGCCTTAGGTAATCCTGCAATAAAATGGAAAATTTTAAAATCATATTTACAAATTCTTAGACACTATTATATTGATTGATGACAATATTTAGAGACGAATCATTGTAGCAGATAGTCAAAATATGGAACATAATGATAAGAGTTATTATACAGTGTGTGAATTAAATACGTCGACGAACTTTAAGGTTTAAAAGTTATATAAATATGGATCCACAAATCAATAGTTTTCGAGATAGCATGTGCTAAAATTAAACCATTTCTCAATTGTCTCTGAAGGAGATTGATGCAGAATGATGAAGTTTACGCTAATGACTTATAATATTAAAGGTAAAAATTTGCTGAATTTGGACAAAAAATCTTGTACCAATGGCACAGATATCTAGGAGTTATTCTCACTGAAAGCAAGGTCACCGGATATTTTAAGAATTCGATCACTATGTAACTTCTTGTATCGTTTTTAAGAAAAAAGATATATTTACGAATTGTAAAATAATTCTAGAACTTTACGTATTTCATAAAAAGTTCTTCGAAATTCTGAGATTTTTAGTGAGAGTGACTCCCGGTATCTTCGCCACTGGTATATATATATCTATATCCGAATGCAGTGGACTTTTATCTTTAGTTAGACAAATCGGTGACCTAAGTTTCATCACTCTGTATCTCGAAAACTGTGATTTGTGAACCCATATTTATATAACCTATTTTGTATAAAATCACACTTGTCGACATACTTAATTAACACCCTGTTCTGTGATGTACCATTAAAGATACCCAGCAAAATATATACTTTATAGGGTTTGTATGTAGCTTTAATTTTTAGTTCTTGAAATTGTGAAATTTGTATGCAAATTGTGCCAACTATAAGTATCTTAGAGAGAGGAAGAGTAATATTCAAAATTTAAATAATAATCTATAGTGAAAACTTTGAAAGATAAATATTTATGGACATACGACATTACTTTATTCGGACATTTTTTTGTAGGTGTTTACAAAAATACCTTCGGTACAAATATTCATTTAACTAATTTCATAGAACAAAATTTATAAATATAATTGGAATCAATTACACGTCAGTATTACATAATAGATTTAAAAGCGACGAAAAGTGTCCAGTTGCAATTTGTATGCAAATTGAACTGACCCTTGCACTATGTCCAATGTCCATCTCGCTCACTCTCCCTATAAACTGGAGGAATGACTCAGTCCACGTAATTTGCGCACAGTCTCAGCTACACACCCTCCGTACTTGTAACGAATCTTCACTCGTTCATCCGTCATATAGCGCTCCATTTTGTCTAACAGCAACGTGCTTACTACAACATTTGACCCAACACAATGATGCCAACCCTTCAAAATGAAAATGGTGCAGAATTCAAATCCGGGTGTCCCGTTACTTTTCGGATACCCTTTGTATAACATATCTTGTAGAGAACTGAGAAAAATTGTACTTAACGACCTCTAGCAGATGGTCAAAAATTAATTAATTTATTTAGCCCTCAAAAACTTGTCGGCATTAAATATCAATGCACTGCATTGATTTTTAAAAAATATATGAAAAAATATTTATTTAAAAAAATATATTAGACGACCTGCATCTCAAAATCGACAAATGATAAGCTGGGTATACATAAAAAAATCATATCATTTTTTGATTTCTTTAGTTTGGAAATGCCAACACACAAATTTTTGATCCACCGTGTTCGCTTTATATTTTGTGTTCGTCTTATATTTCTATTCCATTGTATTTTGTACAAAGAAATGTTCTAGGCCAAACCTACTTGGATTCAATTTTCACTTGATTAGAAAAAAAATATTGTCTTTATTACTAAGAAGGCAGAAAAGAAAACAAAAGAACGGAAGCGATGTCAGTGATAAATTGATGGAAAGGGTTGAATCGATAACGGCAAAAAGTGTAAAGTTGAAACAGGCGTATTCGCTTTTAATGTTCTTGTTCTAGAAGAAAAAACATTTCAAGTTGGTAGGACTGAAAATGTGTAGGCGTATAACAAATAACGTTTGAAATTGAAACACGCCGAGTTATCTGGACTGAAAATGTATGTTGAGAGGAAATGTAAAATAAATTGGGACTGAATGAAAATTAATTAATTTTCAAACGCTTAGTTTTTTTCAGACAATTCTTTAATTGTGTTTTTTTTATAAATTTAAAACAACATATGCGATTTTGCTAAAATTTGATACGTTGACATAGCTTTATAAGATATAAAATTCCATATCAAAAAATTGTGATAAATATTAATGCATGTGGAGTATTTTTGTAATTGAATATTTCAAATTTCTACGCTAATGGATAAAAAGGGTTGTATAAATTCTAGATTAGATAATTTATTTACTGTAAAAAAATAGGTAGACTCGATTACTCTCATAGTTCTTTCGTAATTTGTATTTTAATTATAGGTAGTTTTGGGAGGAGACTTTACGAAAAACTGAAGTTATTTAAAAATTGTACCTACTACATATTCTTAGATATTTTCGGATACTGTCAAGAAAATGGTCGAGAGCCTCAGCTTTTCCATTCGTCGTACATCAAGGCAACCAATATTTGCATGTCCATATTCGCTGATTTGGATTTACTAGAGGATTTATCTCTGCAACTTTGGAGAAATATGTGGTTTATGCAAGATAGTACTCCATCGCATTTTTCATTGAAAGTTCAAAACCACTTAAATCAATAAATCCATTGGATTATTCTTTATAGGGATACCTCAACTCCGTGGTTTACAAGACTCCGTGGTTTGGCAACGTAGTCAATATGAAATACGAATACAATTTAATTTTCTTCGTCATATAAATCTTTGTATGTACATTGTAAAAATATGAACACTTTTTATACCTTTAATCACGATTTCGTAAAATCTACTCCCAACCTCGACATTGAAATATTTGAAAAACTTGTTCCCATATTTATTTAGCCATACCCATATATAAGTCTGGTCGAACAAAACGTGCAGGTGGTAGAAATGTATACGACCAGTTGAAGAATGCGAGCGCGGGCAAACGAAGTGTAACACAACTGTATTGGGTTTCTGGCAATAAATCACAGCAGGCGACAAGTGGATCATAAATTGCCCAGCAGTGCAGTGCTGCAGTACTGAATTTGGTGTGAATCAGGCAATTTTAATTTATTATAGGCACCTTCTATCAATCATTCATATTACAATTGTAAAAGGGAGAAATAAGAAGGATATTTTGTTTAATAATATTATCACAACATGGCATTTTGGAGACCTTTTGAAACGGAACAAAACAAAATTTACTACCAATATAATAAAATTGTCTGAGGACATAAATAATTAAAATATGTTGTTGGCCAAATGAACATATAATAGAAATTTTCTACACATTGTATACAAATTATTATAATTTTTTACCTTTAGCAGAAAATTTTATTACCAAACGTTTTTTTGCATATTCAACTGACTTCGGAAGGACTATACAAAAAAAATGAGAGTAATCTAGTCTTTTCAATACTACCTCTTTTATAGTTAATAAGTTACTTAATTTAAAAGTTGTATTTACAATCCTGATTCATTGTCGCAGCAATTTTAAATATTTAGTTACAAAAATACTCGTTCTACAGATATAGATTCATATTTATCTTAGTTGTGATATAGGACTTTTTCTCCCATAAACCAAAGTTTCATAAACTAACTTAAAATTAATAAAAAAAAACAATTTAAAAATTCACATTTCAGGGTTGTCTAGTGATCAGACTAAGTACATTTGGCAAGTTTATTTAAATCGACTTATTTTGATTCAAGGAACATGTGGTACAATTTTGTAAAGACCTATTAGAGACATCTTGTATAGTAAACATTAAATGAGAGGTAATTTTATGTAATTTGAATTAGGTTATCACGAACATTACGTCTGTTTGTTCAGATTTTGATGTAATACACCAAATGATACAAATATTTTTTTTTTGTAGGTACTATTACAGCAATTAGTTATTCCTTCCTTACGATATTTGCGATGCTTGATCATTTTTGATTATAATAATCATCAAATCGTTTATATAAAATTATTTACCTCTTTGTTGTAATATTATGTAAGTTATGCTAGAGATTGGAAATGTTAGGGCGGCTGCAATGTGGTATAGGGTTGGCTGTAGGTCGGGTGCTCCTATCCTTTATGCAATTTTATTCAAACAAAAAGTGACATAACCTGATTTGAAGCTTGGCATCGATCAATTTATTCGATACGTATCTAGCGGCAGCCTAATGCCTGTCCTGTCGATTTTTTGCTGAGGTACGTTGGTCGTGAATTTAATTGTCGTTTTAGTTTTATTTTTTCTTGAAAATCTTAAATTCCAAACAAATATTCTGTCTTGTTTTTAAAATATCTACATAAGGGTGTAATTTAATAAATAATAAAGAATAAAGAGAAAGTTATACCGGTAGATAAAAATGTACCTAGTTCTATTTTAATTTTAGATGTTAACTTTATGTATTGGTTTATAATATATTTTAAATTAGACTAATAAAATTAAATTTCCCAGAATATCTGTATAATCCAGAATTCAATTACGTAAATGGGAACTTTTATCTCTCACTAAGCTAATTTTATTACGTTTCATTCAGAATTTAAATATTTTATAGAACCTTTAAGATTACTGGCTATATATGTTTGAAGCAATTAGAATTTAATTTTAACTATTAAGACTATTTCTCATGCAGAAGCGTTCTGAGTGCTGATCTAAAATTCATTTTTATGCAAGTAATACAAAATACAGGAGCTGCGGGTTTTGTTAGGGGAGCTAATAGTAGTGGAGTGCTTAGTAACTAAATAACAATTATTACTTAATCTATTTGAGATAATTAATGAAATTTTACTTCATCTTCTAAAAGCCCCTACCGCAGTAAATGAAATTGTCCCTCTTCCATCTAGTGTATTATTAAATCGAGAACCCAACATTTTCCTTTCTCCCCCTCCATCCTTTTGCTAAAAATACTGTAATACTATACCGATAAAAATTTTATGTAAAAATACACACTAGATGAATGATTGCTTTGACGTCACTGTGTATAATGTAAAATTACATAGTACAAGTTACA